TGAAACACTTTAAAAACGAGAGATAGAAGGAAAAAGGGTTGAATCTGAGGAGCAGGGACAATATCCTAATGAAAATTCTTTTTTTTTTTTTTTTTTTCTTGATGTTCTGCTGCTAGAAAATCTGCTCCAGGGCAGTTCTTAGAAGATACGGAACGCATGTGAAAATAAATAACTGAAACATTTCATTGAAGAGGAGCTGCTTCTGTTTAGGGATACATTTGTAATATTCTAGTCAACTTTCTGCATATTTACATTTGCAGTATCTACGAGCCTTGTATTATTTGAAGGAAAATCATCGCCCGTAGGTTACCAGGCTGGTCGCCGGCACGGCAGCTTGACATTATTAATTCCGCTGCATTTCACACATAAGGAGATTTTTTTTTTTTTTCCCCTCATCTTCAGGATTTTGTAATAAAACCTTCCCGATACAATTAACGTCTGCGCCAATTATAACATCAAGATGTACGTCTGTGCTGAATAGTAATGGAGGTACTTATGTAAACTGTCTTTAATTTTTTTAAATAGAAGCGCAATAGCTTCCTCAATGAAGGTAATTGGCACATTTGATATTCTACGCGTGCTTTTTTTTTTCGCTGCAATTTTATCGAAGAACCTGAGAAAGCGGCCAGAGGAGACTACAAATGCTCAATTTAAGCTGATGGCTTCTAACTTAACAGAAGTGGGGCCATCCAGGAGGAAGCATGGAAGACCTTGCTTTAGAAATCAAGGTCCGAGTGTCTAGAATGACTAAAAAAAAAAGATAGATATCCTAAATTAGCCATTCTCAAGATTTCTAACCCCAGAGGAACCATTAAACTAATTTTCAGGTCTTGAGGAACCCTTGGGTACCATCCTCCTAGTGTAGAGTAGGCTGCTAGGAAAATTTCATTGGCTTCAATTAAGGTCCGAGTATCCAGAATGACTAAAAAAAAAAAAGATAGATATCCTAAATTAGCCATTCTCAAGACCTTTACCCTCAGAGGAACCCTTAAAATAATTTTCAGGCCTTGTGTAGCATCCTCCTAGTGTAGAGTAGGCTGCTAGGAACATTTTATTGGCTTCAATTAAGGTCCGAGTCTCCAAAATGACTAAAGAGAAAAAAAGATAGATATCCTAAGTTAGCCAATTTCTCAAGATTTTTAACCCCAGAAGAACCCTTAAAATAATTTTCAGGCCTTGTGTAGCATCCTCCTAGTATAGAGTAGGCTGCTAGGAACATTTTATTGGCTTCAATTAAGGTCCGAGTATCCAGAATGACTAAAAAAAAAAAAGATAGATATCCTAAATTAGCCGTTCTCAAGACCTTTACCCTCAGAGGAACCCTTAAAATAATTTTCAGGTCTTGGGGAACCCTTGTGTAGCATCCTCCTAGTGTAGAGTAGGCTGCTAGGAACATTTCATAGGTTTTTTTGGGTGTGGTTTGAGTGTGGGCATGGACACAGGGGTCCCATGATTTCCTATTGCCCCATGAGTTGTCAGTCCGCCCTGTGGGGAACCCTTGTGTAGCATCCTCCTAGTGTAGAGTAGGCTTCAATTAAGGTCCGAGTATCCAGAATGACTAAAAAAAGATAGATATCCTAAATTAGCCAATTTCTCAAGACTTTAACCCCAGAGGAACCCTTAAAATAATTTTAAGGTCTTGGGGAACCCTTGTGTAGCATCCTCCTAGTGTAGAAGCCAATGAAATTTTCCTAGCAGCCTAGGAACATTTCATTGGCTATGGTAATCTGTGGAGCAGGGGTAGATTATTTGGGGCTTCACAGGCTGCTGCTCGTTTACTTCCAGCTGTCCGAGGGCCCGGAGTCAGTAGGGGGCCCCATGAGATGCCCTTGGTACCTTTCATAGTTTTTTTTGGGTGTGGTTTGAGTGTGGGCGAGGACACAGGAGTTCCATGATTTCCTATTTCCCCATGAGTTGTCAGTCAGCCCCTGTGGGAAACCCTAGTGTACCATCCTCCTAGTGTAGAGTAGGCTGCTAGGAACATTTCATTGGCTTCAATTAATGTCCGAGTATCCAGAATGACTAAAAAAAAGATAGATATCCTAAATTAGCCATTCTCAAGATTTTTAAACCCCAGAGGAACCATTAAACTAATTTTCAGGTCTTGAGGAACCCTTGGGTACCATCCTCCTAGTGTAGAGTAGGCTGCTAGGAAATTTGTCATTGGCTTCAATTAAGGAACCGAGTATCCAGAATGACTAAAAAAAAAAGATATATCCTAAATTAGCCATTCTCAAGACTTTTTACCCTCAGAGGAACCCTTAAAATAATTTTCAGGCTTGGGTGTAGCGTCCTCCTAGTGTAGAGTAGGCTGCTAGGAACATTTCATTGGCTTCAATTAAGGTCCGAGTATCTAGAAAATGACTAAAAAAAAAAGATAGATATCCTAAATTGGCCAATTTCTCAAGATTTTTACCCCAGAGAACCCTTAAAATAATTTTCAGGTCTTGAGGAACCCTTGTGTAGCATCCTCCTAGTGTAGAGTAGGCTGCTAGGAATATTTCATTGGCTACAATAATCAATGGAGTGGGGATAAATTATATGGGGCTTCACAGGCTGCTGCTCTGTTACTTCCAGCTGTCCAAGGGCCCGGAGTTAGTAGGGGGCCCCATGAGATGCCCTTGGTACCTTTCATAGTTTTTTTTTGGGTGTGGTTTGAGTGTGGGCGAGGACACAGGAGTTCCATGATTTCCTATTGACCCATGAGTTGTCAGTCCGCCCCTGTGGGAAACCCTTGTGTACCATCCTCCTAGTGTAGAGTAGGCTGCTAGGAACATTTCATTGGCTTCAATTAATGTCCGAGTATCCAGAATGACTAAAAAAAAAGATAGATATCCTAAATTAGCCATTCTCAAGATTTTTTTTTTAACCCCAGAGGAACCCTTAAAATAATTTTCAGGTCTTGGGAACCCTTGTGCAGCGTCCTCCTAGTGTAGAGTAGGCTGCTAGAAACATTTCATTGGCTTCAATTAAGATCTGAGTATCCAGAATGACTAAAGAAAAAAAAAGATGGATATCCTAAATTAGCTAATTTCTCAAGACTTTTTACCCCAGAGGAACCCTTAAAATAATTTTCAGGTCTTGGGGAACCCTTGTGCAGCGTCCTCCTAGTGTAGAGTAGGCTGATAGAAACATTTCATTGGCTTCAATTAAGATCTGAGTATCCAGAATGACTAAAAAAAAAGATAGATATCCTAAATTAGCCATTCTCAAGATTTTTAACCCCAGAGGAACCCTTAAAATAATTTTCAGGTCTTGGGGAACCCTTGTGTAGCGTCCTCCTAGTGTAGAGTAGGCTGCTAGGAACATTTCATTGGCTTCACGGTAATCTGTGGAGCAGAGGTCGATTATTTGGGGCTTCACAGGCTGCCGCTCTGTTACTTCCAGCTGTCTAGAGGATTCTAGAATGATGGCGGGAGGAAGAACAGGCCATGCAGCCTGAATATTTATGGGAATCCAGCCAATCCCGGGGAAGGTGTGCCCAGCAGGTGATGAGAGAGCCCATAAATTGTCTGAGGCCTAAGCAGCAGGGTGCAATGTTCCTAAGGTCCATACCTGCAGGAGGAGAAGCCCTCATACACTGCAAATCGACAGCAATAAAACAAATGTTTAAAATGCAATTCAAAGTTTTAAATAAATTGACGAAATTATGAAATCATGAAAAATATGGAAAAAAATTTGATGGCAGATGTTGGGAGCATGTGCAGGACAACTGCTGGCAGATGCATCAAAGCTAGTGGAGGACCTAATGAAGATCCCTAATCACTGGTTTAGAGCATTTGCTTTCCAGTAAACCTATTATTAGAGAGGTTCCACTGAGGACTTGCTACAGGGCTGACAATGCCTGACTGTTATGACGCCCCATCACGTACCTGGTGATGGAGGCCAATGGAGAGAGGGCTTCCCTTGCGGCTAAGTTCCAGACTCCCCTGGATATGAGATAGAAGGAGTCGGGCCCAAAGTAGCACGGGTAGCCTGTAGGAGGGCTTGTCAGAGGTACACCCAGGAGCACAGCTGATTCACTGGAATGGTGTCTGCAGACAGGTGGTGCCCGTGAGAGGTATGCAGGCCTTCAGAGTAACAGAGGACCACAGAGTAGTCGGTTCAAAGCCAAGGTTAGATGCCAGGTGGAGACTGGAGCAGACGTAGTCAATAGGATAGCCAGGGTCATACACAGGAGAGCCAGTGAGAATATCTATTAGCCAAGCCGTGGTCAGCTCAGGAGAGCAGGTGAGAACATCCGTTAGCCAAGCCGATGGGTCAGGAGAGCAGCTGAGAACATCCGTTAGCCAAGCCGAGGGTCAGGAGAGCAGCTGATAACATCTATTAGCCAAGCTGGGTCAGATCAGGAGAGCCAGTGAGAACATCCATTAGCCAAGCCGGGGTTAGATCAGGAGAACAGGTGAGAACATTTGTTAGCCAAGGCGGGTCAGGAGTCAGGTGAGAACATCCGTTTAGCCAAGCCGGGGTCAGATCAGGAGAGCAGGTGAGAGACATCTATTAGCCAAGCCGAGGTCAGATCAGGAGAGCAGGTGAGAACATCTGTTAGCCAAGCCGGGTCAGGAGTCAGGTGAGAAAATCCGTTAGCCAAGCCGGGGTCAGATCAGGAGAGCAGGTGAGAACATCTATTAGCCAAGCCGAGGTCAGATCAGGAGAGCAGGTGAGAACATCTGTTAGCCAAGCCGGGTCAGGAGTCAGGTGAGAACATCCGTTAGCCAAGCCAGGTCAGGAGTCAGGTGAGAACATCCGTTAGCCAAGCCGGGTCAGGAGTCAGGTGAGAACATCCGTTAGCCAAGCCGGGGTCAGATCAGGAGAGCCGGTGAGAACATCTGTTACCCAAGCGAGGGTCAGATCAGGAGACCAGGTGAGAACATCTGTTAGCCAAGCCGGGTCAGATCAGGAGAGCAGGTGAGAATATCCGTTAGCCAAGCCGAGGTCAGATCAGAGACCAGGTGAGAACATCTGTTAGCCAAGCCGGGTCAGATCAGGAGACCAGGTGAGAATATCTGTTACCCAAGCCGAGGGTCAGATCAGGAGAGCAGGTGAGAACATCTATTAGCCAAGCCGAGGTCAGATCAGGAGAGCAGGTGAGAACATCTGTTAGCCAAGCCGAGGTCAGATCAGGAGAGCAGGTGAGAACATCTGTTAGCCAAGCCGAGGTCAGATCAGGAGAGCAGGTGAGAACATCTGTTAGCCAAGCCGGGTCAGGAGTCAGGTGAGAACATCCGTTAGCCAAGCCGGGGTCAGATCAGGAGAGCCGGTGAGAATATCCGTTAGCCAAGCCGAGGTCAGATCAGGAGACCAGCTGAGAATATCCATTAGCCAAGCCGAGGTCAGATCAGGAGACAGCTGAGAATATCCATTAGCCAAGCCGAGGTCAGATCAGGAGTCAGGCAGAGAAGACAGGTCCAAGAACAAGCCAAGTCGGTAACAGCAGATCACAGTAGCAAGGGAACACAGACAAAGGTACTGGGGAGCCAGAGATCAACCAGCAATTTGAGGGAGTGATGGGCTTCCTTATAAAGGCTGTCTGGTGCCAAACTGAGCTAATGCGTGCGTAAACTGTGCGCATGCGTGTTCCACACTCGCGTCAATGCGCATAGATTTTCGTGCATTTCTGCGGCCATGCAAGGTACTGGCAGGAATGCCAGGTCTCCGAGTACCTCTTCTTTGGACAGAGCCCTGACAGCCCCACTGCTACAGTGTTTTCTGAGAAAAATGGCCCAAAACACGTTCATAGATCAATCCATCTTCCCTATTCCCAATTCATTTAGCCAAAATGGTCAGATTTGGCCACATTCTCGTACATTTCGCAATTATTTGGGGGGAATGGAAAGATTTCCTGACTCCCGATAAGTCTGATCCACTGTGGTCCGGCTGAAGTTTTCAGAACTTCAGAAGTCTCACTGAAGCTTCTGGTAGCTCGGCCTGCTGAGATGATGAGGCTAAAGCCAATTCCTACATAAATTCGACCTGGGTTACTTAGAAGGGTGGAAGTTGGAGGCACTGGCAGCCAATATGAGGAAGAGTGGGACCTAGTGGTGCAGGCAGGTAATCTAAGAACAGGTAGGACCTGGGGTTACTGGCAGGCAATTTAGGAAATGGTGGGGCTTGGTGGTGCTGGCAGTCAGTCTAAGGAAGGGTGTGACCTGATGCCACTGGCAGTCAATCTAAAGAAGGATAGGACCTGATGGGACTGGTAGTCAGTCTAAGGAAGCATGGGATCTGGTGACACTATCGGTCAATTCAAATAAGAATGGGGCCTGGTGACACTGGCAGTCAATCTAAAGAAGGTTGGGACCTGATGGGACTGGCAGCCAATCTAAGGAAAGATGGGACCTGGTGGGTCTGACAATCAATCTAGGGAAGAATGGGATCTGGTGGGACTATTCATTCTAAGGAAGGATGGGACCTGGTGGGACTAATCACTCTAAGGAAGGATGGGACCCAGTGGGACTGGCAGCCAATCTAAGGAAAGATGGGACCTGGTGGGTCTAATCACTCTAAGGAAGAATGGGACCTGGTGGGACTGGCAGCCAATCTAAGGAAAGATGGGACCTGGTGGGTCTAATCACTCTAAGGAAGAATGGGACCTGGTGGGACTAATCACTCTAAGGAAGGATGGGACCTGGTGGGACTGGTAGCCAATCTAAAGGAAAGATGGGACCTGGTGGGTCTAATCACTCTAAGGAAGGATGGGACCTGGTGGGACTGGCAGCCAATCTAAGGAAAGATGGGACCTGGTGGGACTGGCAGCCAATCTAAGGAAAGATGGGACCTGGTGGGACTGGCAGCCAATCTAAGGAAAGATGGGACCTGGTGGGACTGGCAGTCAGTTCAAGTAAGGATGGGACCTGGTGGGACTGGCAGTCAAGGTAAGGGTTCCCAGGGACCTGCTCTGGGTTCTGTTCTCCCAGAAGCCTTTGGGAAAAGTAACGCTGACATTTGGAAATGACTGGATCCATCCAACACTGCATCGCCTGTGGGCGGTACTTATGCAAATACGGCCTTCTTAGGAACGCCCACTCCTACCAGACTGACACCCACCCATCAAGGCATTTTACTATTTGCATAACTCCTCCCACACACCCGGGCTCACTTGAGAGGAGGCCGAGGGCAGGACGCTGTGATGTTTTCAGCACCCCTCCCACCAGCCAGCCACGATCTGCCCACATTGCCAAGAAAAACACAAAGACCCAGTGATAACATCATCGGGGGCCACAGTAAGGTTTGTCATGAAATAGAACTTTTTTTTTTTGTTGTTGTTGATGGGGGGGGATAAAACAAGGATTTAAAAAAATCGGAAGGAAAGGAAAATCATGTCACCTTCTGGAGGAAGGGTTCGGCTGGTGAGCAATATGGCCGCCATCGGAGGTGGACCTCCGGAAAACGCGGCAAATGATCACGCTTGACTCCTCGGGGATCGAACGTCGGCCATTCCTCCCATTCTTCTGGAAAAGTCGTCCGACGGCGGGTGAGCCAATGAATCTGGATGGATGGTGTCATTATTGCGTCTTCGGATGGCGGGGGGGGGGAAACAATGGCGCAGCGATACATTTTCTTTTTCAGTCTCCTGAACGTATCCCGGTAACCCAGATTTCCATCGATGATTTATTGAAGGATGAACCAACTGAGGAGACGGCGATACAATGTATCATCGAAGTTTACCGCACGGGTTTACCCGCAGCGATCGACCCAACATCGCCTTCCCAAAAAAAAAAAAAAAAAAAAAAAAAAAAAAAAAAAAAAAAAAAAAAAAAAAAAAAAAAAAAAAAAAAAAAAAAAAAAAAAAAAAAAAAAAAAAAAAAAAAAAAAAAAAAAAAAAAAAAAAAAAAAAAAAAAAAAAAAAAAAAAAAAAAAAAAAAAAAAAAAAAAAAAAAAAAAAAAAAAAAAAAAAAAAAAAAAAAAAAAAAAAAAAAAGAAAAAAAAAAAAAAAAAAAAAAAAAAAAAAAAAAAAAAAAAAAAAAAAAAAAAAAAAAAAAAAAAAAAAAAAAAAAAAAAAAAAAAAAAAAAAAAAAAAAAAAAAAAAAAAAAAAAAAAAAAAAAAAAAAAAAAAAAAAAAAAAAAAAAAAAAAAAAAAAAAAAAAAAAAAAAAAAAAAAAAAAAAAAAAAAAAAAAAAAAAAAAAAAAAAAAAAAAAAAAAAAAAAAAAAAAAAAAAAAAAAAAAAAAAAAAAAAAAAAAAAAAAAAAAAAAAAAAAAAAAAAAAAAAAAAAAAAAAAAAAAAAAAAAAAAAAAAAAAAAAAAAAAAAAAAAAAAAAAAAAAAAAAAAAAAAAAAAAAAAAAAAAAAAAAAAAAAAAAAAAAAAAAAAAAAAAAAAAAAAAAAAAAAAAAAAAAAAAAAAAAAAAAAAAAAAAAAAAAAAAAAAAAAAAAAAAAAAAAAAAAAAAAAAAAAAAAAAAAAAAAAAAAAAAAAAAAAAAAAAAAAAAAAAAAAAAAAAAAAAAAAAAAAAAAAAAAAAAAAAAAAAAAAAAAAAAAAAAAAAAAAAAAAAAAAAAAAAAAAAAAAAAAAAAAAAAAAAAAAAAAAAAAAAAAAAAAAAAAAAAAAAAAAAAAAAAAAAAAAAAAAAAAAAAAAAAAAAAAAAAAAAAAAAAAAAAAAAAAAAAAAAAAAAAAAAAAAAAAAAAAAAAAAAAAAAAAAAAAAAAAAAAAAAAAAAAAAAAAAAAAAAAAAAAAAAAAAAAAAAAAAAAAAAAAAAAAAAAAAAAAAAAAAAAAAAAAAAAAAAAAAAAAAAAAAAAAAAAAAAAAAAAAAAAAAAAAAAAAAAAAAAAAAAAAAAAAAAAAAAAAAAAAAAAAAAAAAAAAAAAAAAAAAAAAAAAAAAAAAAAAAAAAAAAAAAAAAAAAAAAAAAAAAAAAAAAAAAAAAAAAAAAAAAAAAAAAAAAAAAAAAAAAAAAAAAAAAAAAAAAAAAAAAAAAAAAAAAAAAAAAAAAAAAAAAAAAAAAAAAAAAAAAAAAAAAAAAAAAAAAAAAAAAAAAAAAAAAAAAAAAAAAAAAAAAAAAAAAAAAAAAAAAAAAAAAAAAAAAAAAAAAAAAAAAAAAAAAAAAAAAAAAAAAAAAAAAAAAAAAAAAAAAAAAAAAAAAAAAAAAAAAAAAAAAAAAAAAAAAAAAAAAAAAAAAAAAAAAAAAAAAAAAAAAAAAAAAAAAAAAAAAAAAAAAAAAAAAAAAAAAAAAAAAAAAAAAAAAAAAAAAAAAAAAAAAAAAAAAAAAAAAAAAAAAAAAAAAAAAAAAAAAAAAAAAAAAAAAAAAAAAAAAAAAAAAAAAAAAAAAAAAAAAAAAAAAAAAAAAAAAAAAAAAAAAAAAAAAAAAAAAAAAAAAAAAAAAAAAAAAAAAAAAAAAAAAAAAAAAAAAAAAAAAAAAAAAAAAAAAAAAAAAAAAAAAAAAAAAAAAAAAAAAAAAAAAAAAAAAAAAAAAAAAAAAAAAAAAAAAAAAAAAAAAAAAAAAAAAAAAAAAAAAAAAAAAAAAAAAAAAAAAAAAAAAAAAAAAAAAAAAAAAAAAAAAAAAAAAAAAAAAAAAAAAAAAAAAAAAAAAAAAAAAAAAAAAAAAAAAAAAAAAAAAAAAAAAAAAAAAAAAAAAAAAAAAAAAAAAAAAAAAAAAAAAAAAAAAAAAAAAAAAAAAAAAAAAAAAAAAAAAAAAAAAAAAAAAAAAAAAAAAAAAAAAAAAAAAAAAAAAAAAAAAAAAAAAAAAAAAAAAAAAAAAAAAAAAAAAAAAAAAAAAAAAAAAAAAAAAAAAAAAAAAAAAAAAAAAAAAAAAAAAAAAAAAAAAAAAAAAAAAAAAAAAAAAAAAAAAAAAAAAAAAAAAAAAAAAAAAAAAAAAAAAAAAAAAAAAAAAAAAAAAAAAAAAAAAAAAAAAAAAAAAAAAAAAAAAAAAAAAAAAAAAAAAAAAAAAAAAAAAAAAAAAAAAAAAAAAAAAAAAAAAAAAAAAAAAAAAAAAAAAAAAAAAAAAAAAAAAAAAAAAAAAAAAAAAAAAAAAAAAAAAAAAAAAAAAAAAAAAAAAAAAAAAAAAAAAAAAAAAAAAAAAAAAAAAAAAAAAAAAAAAAAAAAAAAAAAAAAAAAAAAAAAAAAAAAAAAAAAAAAAAAAAAAAAAAAAAAAAAAAAAAAAAAAAAAAAAAAAAAAAAAAAAAAAAAAAAAAAAAAAAAAAAAAAAAAAAAAAAAAAAAAAAAAAAAAAAAAAAAAAAAAAAAAAAAAAAAAAAAAAAAAAAAAAAAAAAAAAAAAAAAAAAAAAAAAAAAAAAAAAAAAAAAAAAAAAAAAAAAAAAAAAAAAAAAAAAAAAAAAAAAAAAAAAAAAAAAAAAAAAAAAAAAAAAAAAAAAAAAAAAAAAAAAAAAAAAAAAAAAAAAAGAAAAAAAAAAAAAAAAAAAAAAAAAAAAAAAA